ACACCAACCCAACTGTAACAACACCAACAACACCAGCCGCATCCGTTCTGCTGTCTGAAAGGAAAGCCTTGTTTGCCGAGAACAAGGTTTTCCCATCTCGTTACTAGCCTTCACAATTCAACCTCACGCTGACATCCCGCAGCGGACTGGGAAGCTGGGTAAACGTAAGGCTTCCGCAGATGAAGAAGATTCAGAACAGCAGCAATACACTCTCATGCAACACCCTGGGAAGAAAGGTGGTTTTGAAGGTATGTTGTATGGCCTACGTTCAGTGTTGTAGTTTTGTGTTTGCCTTTCTTTTGATTCGATGGAGACCATGCGGGGTGGGGTGGGGGAATAACTATTCCCGATTGCTTCAAAGGAATATCCGTGCCTGTGATTGTCATTGCACAAGTCGTTGCCTACAAAAGAATAAAAAATTCTCATGCAATATGCAGGATTTGCTATATAAAGATACCTTATTCCGAAGTATCTTGCCTGCCTATATATTTGTCCTTGCGTTTTTACACGTTCTTCCCTTCTCTTCCTCCGGCTCAACCTTAGCTAACTTGACACGGCCACCACATATTAGAACGGCACAATGCAAAGCAGCCCGCAAGAGATCGTGGATATGTCCACGCACCCAGAGATCGACGAGTCGTTATATAGTCGACAATTGTAGGAGTCATATTTTCTCCTCCCGTCCCAACTCTTGTCAAGTGGCCAAAAACTAATGATGTCGACCTCCACTCCAGATACGTTCTTGGCCATGAAGCTATGAAGCGGATGTCGTCTTCAAATGTCCTCATTGTCGGGCTTAAAGGTTTAGGTGCTGAGATCGGTATGTTGATACGGACAATAATCCCAAGGACGTGGATGTTCTTGATACTAACCACTTCATCATGACAGCGAAAAATGTCGCCCTTGCCGGCGTCAAGTCCCTCTCTCTCTACGACCCTACTCCCGCCACCATCTCAGATCTTTCCTCTCAATTTTTCCTTAGCCCAGAAGATATTGGCACGTCCCGCGCCGAAGCTACCGCCCCTCGCGTCGCGGAATTGAATGCTTACACACCTGTCACCATTCACAGCTCGCAAAGTTTGACGGATGATTTACCCCAGCTCAACAAGTACCAGGTTGTTGTTCTAACCGCCACACCGCTGCGAGACCAGCTGGTTATTGCTGAGTATTGCCACAAGAATAAAATCTTTGTCATTATCGCAGATACGTTCGGTTTGTTTGGATATATCTTCACCGACTTTGGCGAGAATTTCACCGTAGTAGACGCCACCGGAGAGGAGCCCACAAGCGGTATTGTTGCTGGAATTGATGAAGAAGGCCTGGTGTCCGCTTCAGACGAGGCTAGACATGGGCTAGGGGAAGATGACTACGTTGTTTTCACTGAGGTCAAGGGCATGGAGAAACTGAATAACTCGGAACCACGCAAAGTCGACATTAAGGGCCCTTATACCTTCTCCATCGGAGATGTGTCTGGACTGGGAACCTATGAAAGTGGCGGTATATTCACCCAGGTCAAGATGCCCAAGACGCTCAGCTTTAAGTCCTTTAAGCAACAACTCGGAAATCCTGAGATTCTCATCACCGATTTCATGAAGATGGACCGACCGGCCAAGGTCCATCTTGGTATCCAAGCTCTCCACAAGTTTGCCGAGATTCACGGTGGCAAGTTCCCCCGACCTCACAACGAGAGTGATGCCCAGGAGGTCATTGAGCTCGCATCTAGAATTGGAGGCGAGGTTGATAAGGATATCCTTCGAGAGCTCAGCTATCAGGCGCAGGGGGATCTGAGTCCAATGGCAGCTTTCTTTGGTGGTCTTGCTGCACAGGAAGTTCTAAAAGCCGTCTCAGGAAAGTTCCATCCCGTAGTTCAATGGTACTACTTCGACTCTCTTGAATCTCTTCCTTCATCGGTCACACGATCTGAGGAAGAATGTGCTCCCCTTGGAACCCGATACGATGGTCAGATTGCGGTGTTTGGAAAGTCCTTCCAGAAGAAAATTTCCGAAGTCAAGGAGTTCCTTGTCGGCTCTGGCGCGATTGGTTGTGAGATGTTGAAGAACTGGGCAATGATTGGCCTTGCTACCGGTGAGAACGGTAAGATCACGGTCACGGATATGGATCAAATCGAAACCAGCAATCTGAACCGACAGTTCCTATTCCGCCCTAAGGATGTCGGCCAACTGAAGAGTGACACGGCAGCAAAAGCTGTACAAGCGATGAACCCGGACCTCCAAGGCAAAATTGTCTCACTGCGAGAGCGCGTAGGTGCCGATACTGAACATATCTTCAGCGAGGATTTTTGGGAAGAGTTGGACGGAGTTACCAATGCTCTGGATAATATTGAGGCGCGAACGTATATTGACCGACGTTGCGTGTTCTTTCAAAAGCCACTGCTTGAGAGCGGAACGCTGGGCACCAAGGGAAATACCCAAGTTATCCTACCCTGGCTCACGGAGTCATATTCCAGCTCCCAAGATCCGCCTGAACAATCCTTCCCGATGTGCACGCTGAGGAGTTTCCCGAACCGAATAGAGCATACAATTGCATGGGCACGCGAGCTTTTCCAGACAAGCTTCGTCGGACCGCCCGAATCTGTAAATCTATATCTTACTCAGCCAGATTACACCAAAACAACCCTAAAACAGTCTGGCAACGAGAAGCAAACTCTGGAAATTCTCCGCGATTTCCTAGAAACAGACAAACCTCTCAGCTTCGATGACTGCATTGTCTGGGCGCGCCACCG